GCTTGAAATCTTGTTGGACGGTTGTGGGACGTCCCGCCAAGATCGCTTTTGGTGGGTTTGTAAACATTTGCCGGCTCAGGCCGGCTGTATCATTGTGCCGCCACAGCTTGTTTATGATTTCCGGTTGGGACTTATATAAAAATGTCATGTCTCAGATGATGTGCTGTGTACTGTACTTGTAATCTCAAATAAGAGGTTTCATTGTTCCAATACCGGAACTTCGAATGTTTTTTTCAAGCGAGAAGAATACACTCCAGAGGAGCAAAAGCTGCTAAACTAACTACTCCACTGACAAACTAGTCCGAACATGTTGCTTTGGCGGTGCTGACGACAAGTGATGACGTACAGTAAATGCGCGAATTTGCTACGATGTGATTTGGCATGTTTCATCGTGCCACCGCATCATGGCTGCGTGAGCGTCTGCAACCCATTTTCTTTCGTGATCCAATCTACCCACAATCCAGTTTGATAATTCGGGTCTCAAGTCGTGTACAGAAAGCACGGGTGATACTTTCGCGCTTGTGCAATTAGGACGTGGACCCAATCGACTTTGATCGGCTTTGATCGGATCGGTTTGGGTCGGTTCGGATTGGCTGTGATCGTTTTTCTCGCGCCGCCCGATCAGAGATGATATTCCTCGAATGTTTTGCGCTCTTGGAGGAAAACTGTCGGCCCATTACCTGGTAGTTGCATCCCAACTTTGGCGATACGGATGAATCTCAGTATCGTGGTAATGTCGCCAACATCATGTCCCAACACACAGTTCTCGCGGATCTGGGTTTATTCGCAAAGATGTTCGAGACATAATGGCGAGGTGTGCTACATTTCGCGTACGTCGCCCAGGTCGCCGATCACATGCAATCAAGTGATTGGGGCTGATTGTGTCTGATCGGGTCTGATCAGGCTGTTTGAGGCGGTTGATTGAGGTGGCGCGATCAGCTGATCGCGATCAGCTGATTGCCCCCGATTGCCTGAAATCTGCTTCACGCCCTCCTCGAAGTCTTCGATCGCCTCTCATCGTACCGATCGAAGTCGATTGGGCCCACGTCCTTATAGCACTGGTTATGAACTCCATCCTGTTCATTCGTGATTTCCTAAACGTGTTTCAAATACACTTTCTGATGATCGTCACCCCATACTCCAGTAGGACAGGGAAGATGATTTTCGTGAACATTTCAAATCCGTTTGTCGGGAGGATAATTTTCCTGCTTTGTACAGTTGACGTTCTGACCAACCTCACGTACCGAACGTTTCGATCCAGCCACTTCTTCCAGGGGATACAGTTGATTTGTCTGGAAGTGTACAGAACTTTCTTGAGCTCAGCGTCGGCCATTTTCAGGTGCATGCCGCACAGCCTAGGAACGCTATTCAAGTGCATGCCAGGAGATAGGGCAGGTGAGTACAGCTGTTTCAGGTTAAAAAATCACTCTCGTAATTTCATACAATTTCCAAGATTCGATTCGAATTGGCACAATATGTCTAAATTATATGCAATTTCGGACTACGCGCAAATCGGAATCGGATCGATTGGCTCTCGATGCTGCATTTTCTGACGTCACTCAGTGGAATGATTGCATTTTTGCCCAATTTCTACGCATGTTTCCGATTCGCAACAATGTTTTTATTAACGAATTATAATGATAGATCTGTTGTACTATTGACGCAGGTGACGTGACGGGCAAATCAGCAAACCCTATTTTGGGTGTGCACAAATTAGAAAAGGAAAATATGCCCGATGTTTTTTAAATTTGCCCCTACCAGAATATTTTTCCGTACATGTACATTGTAATAGGTGGAATTCCATGCCGTTAATTACGTGGCAACAGCTACATATGTACAGTACCGTATATTCTTAATAGCGGTAGGGGCAACTCTTCTAACACTTGGGCAGATTTCTCGTGTTTCAGGCTACCCTTTCCAACTAATGCACGTCCCATTAGGGTTTGTTGATTTGACCCGCGAAAACGTCCGCCACCTGTGCCAACAGTACAAACGATTCAGCATTATAATTTGCTGAAAAACAGCTGGTACGAAGCAGAAATTTCCGTAAATTCGGCGAAAAATGAAATCATTACATTGAGTGACGTCAGAAATTCAGCTTCGGGAGCCAACCAGTTTCGTTTCCGATTTGCGTATACCGAAATTGCATCTGTTTCATACCGTTTGTGCTAATTCGAATCGAATATTCGAATTCGTGTGAAACTACAAGTGACTTTTAATAACCTGAGACATCTGTACGAACCTGGCATGCACCTGAGAAGCGTTCCTAGGCTAAGCGGCATGCACCTGAAAATGGCCGGCTCAGCATTGTTGCCTGTGCAGTTGCTCTTCGTATTCACTGATCACGACGATCCACGAAACCATCTGAATTGTTCGCACTGTACTGTAGTGTGTTGCAATTTCTCCTGCCCGTAGTTTGTCACAGTGACTGAATAATACGCGAAGGACCAGGGAGTGAGGGACTCGTGTGTTGTGCACTCCAGTGCAAGTGCTAGTGAAGACTGTTCGGCCATCTGATTGGTGAAGAATAGTTTGACTTTTGCCGCTGAAACCCTCTTACCCAATCCGATCATTCAACTTCTGCCTGTCAGGTATCTAGGCTGGGCCATGAAACGGGTGCGGCGCTCAATCCGGCTGGTGCTGGCGGCGCCTCGTAAATGGGCAACACAGTGAAGCTGACACGCCCTTCTGTGGTGGGATAGTGGCGCATACTGGCAAAATGGCACAAAGTGGACACGTGTAAACACGATTTTTGGGGGAGGCGACCCACCACTTGAGAGGTTCAATATATTTGCCCCATTTCGCCCTACAGATGGGTTGCTTGTTTGGGAAGTCCGGGTAGACTAAATGTCGTGGCTTGCTTGGAAATTTATAACAAAATCAGAGGAACTTCCACAACGAACTACAGTTTGAATTGGCAGGCAGGAATAACGGCGTGTGCAATTCGCGGTGCACTGTATCGGCTCTGCTCGGGGCACGGTTTCAAAAAGGCTCCAGGAAAACAATGGGCCGCAAAACATTTACAGAAAAAGCCCAAAAACATCCTATGTCCTAATCCTACACTATTGCAGTCATTATCTTGAAAAGTAGCTTCCCGAATCAGTGCCCGAGTTCGGCCTTCCGCCTGTCTGGACCCAAAGTAACTACTCAGTGCTTTTCTGTGCTACTTCTTTGTTACAGGCGCGGAGCTTTAGCGAACACATGAATGCCGCTTTTCTTTCACATGAACATACCGGGACTGCGACCGAAAGGTCGAGAAATGGAAAACGGAATGAGTGAGGGAGGGTTGCGTGGGAGAGAGGGTTTGGTACGTATGTCCCTAGCCAGGGGGGTGGGTGGATGCACAAGACATGAAGGACCGGTAAAAGTAGTTTCTACTGTAAAGTCCAGCCCCCAAAGAGGGTGGTACAGTTCGCGAATAATGTATTTCTAGGATGGTGTACAAAACTCACTCTGAAATGAAGGCCAACAGGGAAAAAGACCTGCCATCCTGAACCATTTCAAGGTACCCAACACTCCCTCCCTCTGACCCCCCCTCACAACCATCCTTGTCTAAAACCTTCCTCCACACGGGAAGGCCAATCTGTGCTCCATCAAAAGGTACTCCAAGAGCTAAGTCAACAGGTGCTCCAAGTGCTACTAGTCAACACAGTTTTGACTGAAAGTGGTACTGGTCGTTCACGCGGTGGAGACACGACTCAACGCAGCACTTCTGTTTCACTCTCACCAGCCAATTGGACAGTTACTAGCTCTAAGTAGAATTTTGAGTCGGACTCAAAAATCACCGCCGGTGCGTATCCGGGAGTACGCGGCAGTAGCTGCGAGTCAGTCGCGTCGCCTGTATTAACGCGGCGGATCTCATGCACACATGCGAAGTCGAAGCGTAAGGTAGACGTTGTATAACCCGACATCTTCGAAATAAATAGATCTCAGTCATGATTGCGGGCCGAAACACCAATTCAGTTATCAATAAATGCAGCATGGACGAGAAGCGTGTGCCAACGCAGCCTGGCCCCCACGCTGACGGGCAGCGCCAAAATCAAGTTGCTGGAGCGATGCAGCGCGCGCGGCAAGAGGACCGAAAGCTCTTATACGACCAACAAACCAAGAGCGATCCAGCAGCACCGTCATGGTCATTGGAGGCTCACCCTCGTGGCACGCGGCAGCACATCATGGAGGCAAGCTCTCTGACAGCATTCAATGGTATTAGCGCGTTGAACGTGAACAGAGATAGCATGAAGGCTGCACTACCTGCGATACTAGCCTCCGGGACCCCACCCTGGGGTTCGGGGTGGAAACAGTTGGCGCAGCAGGCGGCGAAGCAGCAGCAGCAGCAGCATCAGGGGCAGGGGCACGCGCAGCAGCAGATGCCTATGCAAGCGCAGCCGCAGCAGCAGCAGCATGATCAGCAGCAGGAGGGGCAGTGGAACGGGCAGCAGCAGCAGCAACAACAGAAACCGGGGCAGGGACAGGGGCAGCGGCAGGGGCACATGCACCAGCTGCTTACCACCTTGGGAGCTGACCAGTTCGGCCATGGGCAAACACCGCTGGTGACACAGCCCTACAGTCAGTCCAAACCTGAGGTTGTCCCTGAATCAGCTTCGGCTTCAATTCCAAGAGGGCACCTGCCATTCCAGCCGCAATTACAATGGGTGCAAGACACTCTGCAACAGCAGATTCAACAGCAGCAGGAGCCACAGCTACAATTGGAGGCTCATTCAGTGCAGCAACCACAAGCCCAGATCAGATTGGACCAATTGTCTGCGCAGCTACAGCCTCTTCTGCAGGGTCAGACGCAAGCCGTCACAAAAGATGTCGCAAGGCAATCTGAATCGGAGACGACACGCAAGCGCACCACACGCAGCCGGAACTATACCCAACCAGGGAAGTACCGTGGAGTGAGGAAGCGAGGCGAGGGTCGGTTCATCGCCGAAATTAAAGACACGACTTTCGGCGTGCGCAAGTGGCTGGGGACGTTTGCCACTGCAGAGGAAGCTGCCATGGCGTTTGATCGAGCCGCGGTGCAGATTCGAGGGAAGAAGACAAAGCTTAACTTTCCAGAGCTGATTCTGGGGGGCGAAGGAACCGCAGGGCAGGAACCTGCAGCACGAGCGATAATGAAGAATGAGGAAGCATCTGCAGAGAAAATTATGGAACCGACTTGTAACCTGGAGGGGAGGATATCTGCCGAGCAGGTCATGCAAGGAAAGCCGGTGGCAGAGGGGGCAGCTGGGCGATTGGGTGAAAACAGAGTTTGGCAAAGTGCGTATGGAGAGGCAATTGCTATGGTTGCACAGACAGCAGGTTGCAAAGCTGAAGCTACAGCACAAGCGATATCGGACACGGACGTGGTTGGGCTCACGACATGCGCAGACAGCAGCACAGTCAGTGGAAGCAGCTCGAGCAGAGCTGGCCCTTCCACCTCGTCTGCCTCCGCGCCTGCATCCATTCTCTCCATCCCTCCGGCCATGTTTCTATCCAGAGAGCCGTGTTCTGCAGGCTTGGAGCACGATGGGCGTTTCACAAAGGGCATAGACAGCATGCTGGTTGCTGTTGCTGGTGCTGGTGCTGGTGCTGGTGTGAAGGAGGAATGCAGGCAGGAGGACGTTTTTCTGGAAGAGGTGAACAGTGGAGGTTTAGAGGCCGTGACTGGAAAGGGAATAGCGCAGGAGGAAATGGATTTTGGAACTGAAATCAAATCTGACGGGGAATTTCGCATAGAAGATTTGGATTTTTTTTTTCCAGTCGCCTCACCCACTTCATTCACAGCTCCAGTTTCCAATTGCGTCAATGCAGTCACCACAGACGCAGGGGGAATGGCGGTGGCGGGGGCAGCAGCAGCAGCAGCAGCAGCAGCAGCAGCAGCAGCAGCAGCAGCAGCAGCAGCAGCAGCAGCAGCAGCAGCAGCAGCAGCAGCAGCAGCAGCAGCAGCAGCAGCAGCAGCAGCAGCAGCAGCAGCAGCAGCAGCAGCAGCAGCAGCAGCAGCAGCAGCAGCAGCAGCAGCAGCAGCAGCAGCAGCAGCAGCAGCAGCAGCAGCAGCAGCAGCAGCAGCAGCAGCAGCAGCAGCAGCAGCAGAAGGAGCAGGAGCAGCAGCAGGTGGAGCAGCAGGTGCATCAGGAGCAACAACGCCAACAGTTGGTGCTTCAGAAGCAGTTGACGCAGGACGAGAAACCACCTCAGTATCTTCCTACCGCCTCACACCCGCTACAGTCGTGGGCCATCACTGCTGCCATGCCCCTCTCAGCAGCCATGGCTCACCGCAGTAGCCCCCCACGTCAAGGCATGTTAAGTCAAGCAATGGTGCGAGTGGAAGCAACATCCATGGCTAGTGGTAGCAGTAGCAGCGGTGGCAGTAGCAGCAGTGGCTGCAGCAGCAGCGGCAGCGGCAGTGGCAGCGGCAGTTGCAGGCTCTTGGATTGCAGTACCTCTCCTCAACCTGTATTCGAGGCAGAAGAGGCCAGCAAACCTTCCGATCTGCTTGCACCACATCGTTCTTCAGCAACACCCTTCTCGTGGGACGATTCTTTCCAAGAGGGTCAGCTAAGTGAAGGGGCTCATCATGTCCTCACTGCGCTGGAGGCGATGTTTCCCGGGCTGCCAGACCATGCAGACAAGCAACGGCCACCACGAGAGCATGGGACATCTCCATATGATGCACTGGAGAATGAGGTGCTCGATGGTTTGATGCACACTGGAGGGCTGCTGCGTGGGATGAATCAGCAACAGGTGCATGAAGCGGTGTTGGGTCCGCCACGGGATGAGCCGCATGGTAGCACAGCAGTGCAGGCGGCATGGGACCAGTCTGCGAGTGCATGGAGCACAGAGGCAGTGGGGAGTTTGGTGTTGAGCGATGCAGACCCGTTTGAAGACCCGTTTCAAGCCATGGACGAGCAGTGGCACAGTGACGTGCAGTTCACTGCTGTTGGCATGTGTGGTCCCTCTGCCCCTGTTGGACAACGCCTACAGCAGCGATTCCAGCAGCAACAGCCGAACGGTCAGCAGCACGATCACCAGTAGCAGCAACCGCCACAGGCTAAACCACAGAAGCTGCAGCAACAGCACCAGCAGCCAACCCAGAATCCTCTGTGTGAACTGCAAGGAAAAAGGGTCCTTCCATCCGCCAGGGCCTCCACTGCCAATAATTAGCTGTCAACAGGAGAATGGTTGGGGGAATGGACAACGAGAGACCAGGATGCCTTCATGAGCTACCGTGTCAGCCACGGTCAGAGCCTTCTTCAGTTTGTGCATCGGCATCCATCCCATAGCAGGCTGACGTGGCGCTGATGAGATGGGGGTGGCACGAAGGACCTCAACATTCTCCTCTCCTTCAGTTGCGGTGTCAGGTGTTGTCCTCATGGGATGATAAAAGGCTCGATTTTAGGAGGGTGTGCCTTGTGCATTAGGCTGTGGTGATGGATGAGATTTCATCAAGCACATCACCGGGCATGCATGCCCAAAAGGTGGTGGATAAGAATTTGCAGGCAATGGAGCTGCACATTTTTTGGGCAAACAGTATGCACACATCTGTAAAAAAGGCTGGCAATGCACCAGTAATTACTGAGGGCAGCAGACTCCGCATTTGACAGCAATAGCAACAGTTGTGAACTGAGTCAAGTGAATTGCTTGATAACTGCCAATTATTAGAAGTTGAAATTACACATGGGGCTTCTAGTTTGTTATAACCCCAACGCCTATCCTGTACCTGCTTCATGTAAATTTTTATTTATTTCTTCTTGTTGGTATAATATACACACGGGGAACAAATTGGAGGGCTTTTCCAGGGCTGGTTTTATCAGGGTACTTACCCTGATTTCAGGGTGATTGATTACAGGCTTCAGACCTGGTGGTCCCTGCAATTTCAGAATTTCTGACTTGTGAACACTGATCCATTCAGAATAGTGCTTTAACGAACCCTGAAAAATTGTATCTAGGGTCAGAGTAGTGTTCTTACTGACTCCGTCAATGTAGAGTACGCGTTCAGTGGACCCTGAATGTGAGGGAACGGGACAAAGGTTCTCGGAAATTTCCTCCCGATAACCCTCCATGTGCGTAATCATGGGCCCTGTTGGCCCTGTTCGATAGGCAGGCAAGCCCTTCCGCGGAAAAAGTCGCGTGGTTTCGTGATTGGGTTTTTTTCCACGGTCAGCCCGTAATTTGATGTCACGGGGCTTTAACGCTCTGTATCCTGAAGGGTTAGTGTTAGCCTGTCGAACGCTACTTTAACCCTTCAAAATCATACCACCCGAAAGCTCCAAGTCCCTTCTCACACGCACAGAGGTTAGCCTAGCTCTAGCCCAGCCCTCGCACCCCCAAAATGGAGGTTGGCCAAGGGATAGGCTAGGGTTCCAAAAGGAAGGGGATACCCACCCCATACCCCACGTAAGTTTTCTCAGCAGGGGCCATGCTCCAACCTCACCCATCTCTGCCCTGAAAAAGTCCCCCTCCTCCCACAACCAAACCAAACACCAGGGTTTTGTTTCACCTCAACCCTAAACCCAGGTTCACGTGGGGTGCGATGTAAAATTTTGGACCCTGCCCACGATGACGATGGTGGAAGGAGGGGTTGCAACATCGCCGAGACGACCCCCTCCTTCCGATCTCGGGATGGGCTGCTTCCGATCTTGGGGGGGCGTGGTTAGCCCTTCAAAACTTTCTCCGAATCCTCTTCCAAACGCTAGCCTAATACTAGCCCTGCAAGGAGGTGGCTGCCTATCGAACAGGGCCGTTCTGTTGGCGCACAGGCCATTCGCAACTGCAGCACAGGTACTGCGGGCAGCGTTTTCCTCGAAAGAGGAAAGGGCCTGTAGCCTCGTCGAAGGGTTTACTTATCGACAAAACTATGAACCTTTTTTTCCCGTTTGCCCGAAAATTTGTCTCCACACACTGCCCTAGCACTCTTCCAAAGTCAAAATTTCGCGAATTGATGCTCTGGATGTGTCAGTCTTACTGGCTCGCCGTTGGATTGTTTTTGGGGTGAGTATTCCACCGAACAAATACCCCAAAACGTGCGTTTGGAACTGCCCGTTACTGGTTGTGCGCCTCTTCAATCCCCCCTCCACGAGCGCATAGGGCTCGCACATGCCATGCGGGAAATTTGCCTGTGGAACCAAGCTCGTGGAACTTTCTCAGCGCACTGAGAGTACAGCGTTCTTGTGCACGCATGAGTAGTGCGCGTACATCCCCCGCACTAGAGGTTCGGGAGACAATAACGATTTGGGAGGCTCGACGTGGGCTTTAAGCCTTGTTTTGCGCTTTCCGAGAATGTTCATCGTTAGGTTTGAGCACCGCTAATGCGCCAACAGAACAGGGCCGTGATTTCGCTTGTACCCATGTGAGGGAGCCCTTTCTGTACAGTAATACCGACAAGTAACACCCAGATGGGAAGGTGGGGTGGATGTTTGGGGAGAAGGTGGGGTGGGGTGGATGTTTGTGGTGTCGTGCGAGGCGCAGCGTGCTGCGGGGATTTTCAGCAGAACACCTCTGACACAACAGATCTGCTTGTGTCAGAGTGTCCTTGACAGGGGAAATTTCTTGTGCGAATTTGCTCTGACAGGGCAAATTTCTTGTGCGAATCTCTTCTCCGAAGCACAGGCCCATTTATCGAGGAAGGGGGTTACACCATCGCCAGTTCGTGCGATGTGCTGTTTTGTCGCCGTTCTTGGCGCCAATTTTTTTGGGGGTTGTTTCGAGGTGTTTCGCTCACCGTCTGCAAATGTACGTACACTGTGGTTGACGGCGAACGTGCACTGTACTTTGGCGTGTGCTGAAGGTCGCAGACACCACGCGATATCGTGCAGTCAGTTCGCATGGGTGGCACATTGTGGGCCATATTCGCGGCTGTGTGGTGCCAAGTAACACTGACGTGTACTTTCGGGTACACTTGTCCAGATCTTTATGGCGGGCGAACTTCAGAACCGTTCAGTAATCTGACCCAACGCTCTGTGTGACTTCAGTACAGTACAATCACGAATGCCAACGTGGTTGTGTTTTATGTTGACTTTGACAGGCAAGGAAGTGAGGAGTGGGAAATGTACAGTACAATCCGCGTGGGAGAAATTTGTGTGATTGACTGCAACACCGATTTCTTGCTCTGAACCTTGACAAATCAGAGTGATGCGTTGTTGGACACTGACCAATCAGAGTAGCAAACCTCTGAAAAATGTGCCCTCATAATACAGGGGGGGATTTTTTTCCCGAAATCAGGGAGGCCCAAAATGAAACGTCAGCCCTGGGCTTTTCGTAATGTACTGTGGGTCACTATTGAGCGATAATGTGGTGAAAATGCGCTGCATTGAGCTGCCAAAATATTCCCTCTTGGTAATGCGCATGAAGACGTGATGATTGTAGGCCCATTTAGGACATGGCAGCAGCCCTCGCCTACACAGCTGTAGTGTCAATCAGCTTGGACCATTTAATGTTGCCTTGTTGGGTTGCCTTGAGCATCCTTCCCTCGTGAAGGACCTTCTGTGTTTATGGTTCATTTAGTGGAACATTGTATTGTTAGTGTTCAAATCTGTAGCTATCATGTAAGGGCGAGCATTCGTCTCACACGGTTACTCCTTACGACCCGCGTTACGTGTCTGTCATAATCGGCCCGCTAGGACAGCCAACATGTCTCAGCATTGTTGATTGCAAGTGATGAAATGGTGCTCCTGTGTGCTCAGCAAGGACTGCTCTACTGCTCCGTTGGCCCGCTGTGAATGTGGAAGGGCCGTGTTTCCATGCCTTCACCGTGGATGCTGGGCCGTCCACTGCTTTTGCTGCTGGTCATGGCACACCATCAACTTCTCAACCGTCTTGGGTTAGTTCTGATTGGTTTAGAGTAGGTGGAAAGTTTGCACCACATCACCAGAAAGGCTTCCAGTTCCATCAAATCTTAAAGGGAATCGCTTGAACAGCCCTTTAGCAAAAACAAGGATGTGAAACTCCCTTTCCCGAGGCACCGTCACATGAATACAGAGCGCCGAGGAAGTTTCGTAGCTTAAGAGTGCATGAGCCAGAGCATTATGCCAAGGAGGGTAAGACCTGTCCTACGCGCCTACAAGAGTGGGTGAAGGACGAGGCTGAGTTGCGGATGACACATCCGACATGCAAGAGGCTTCACGGCATGGGCTGCAAGACCTATTACCTGATACGCAAGAGGAGTTGTACAACAATGTGCTCTCCTGGCACAAAACATGTCTTCTGCTCTAGGTGAAACAACTTCAAAAGTGGAGCATGGACATCATGAACAAGAAGTGGTCACACGTTCTCTGGGAGACGAGTCACCGCTGGATTGAGCGCATGCGCAAGCAAGACGTGACCAGTCTGCAAATGCATGGAGCATAGAGGCTGTGAGGGTTATGGTTTTGAGCGATGCGAACCTGTTTGTATCGCGTGAGGCAAGTGTCATTGGTATCACTCGGTGCATGCCGAGTTCGCCACATTTTCCACTTTTTGCCCTTCTCCATATCTTTTTTTTTTTTAATCGCCAGCTCTATCTGCAGCTACCAGTCATGTTCTTGACTTGCAGATGTTGACGTTTTTGCTATGGCTGCTGCTGTCGGTGCCATTGCTGCAATTGCCAATTGGTTCGCGAGAATATTCCGAGGTCGAAGAAGTGCCTCCCGAATCTGCTCTTGTTCAGCACAAAGGATCGCGAGTTCCTTCACAAGATTTTGCCTAAGCCCTCCATGCCTGATCCGTTAACCATTCAAAGGGAAGTTAAAAATCAACGCAAAACTGGTTTTCCGTACCCAATCGGCATGGCCTTCGTCGCCCCTGCAATGATTTTTAAAGGGTGAGTTTTAGCGAGCTGTCAAAATATCCAATATCTCTTGTCTCCTCCCTCCTTTTTCTGTGGCTCATGCTCCCATGTTGTTTCTCCCCATGTTCGTCTTGTTGCTCAGGATTCGTCTTTAAGCGCAAATCCGCTAGAAGGATTGTGCGTCTTAGGCTTAGCTACCATCTTCATTTGAATAACTTAAAAAGATGGTCTAGAGACTGAGAACCACTTAGAAACGTCCAGCAGCTGCAAA